ACGTATATTCGCATCGCACCCTCCACATGCTCCTACTCTAACGAGTTTGCAGCGCGTCGGAGTGAATAGGGGCATGCGACTCGAACAAAACTTAAATGATTCCAAGTATATATCTAAACAAAAAGTAGTTTCCCCACTATTTGAATAATTTAGACTAAAATAAGAATATATAATGAGACCTCGAAATTACGATTTTAAAGTTTACAGAATGAATGGAAAAGTACGTTCTGAGTGTACCTAATGTTTCATTTAGAATTAAAGTCTGAGATTGTATTTTTTTTTTTTGCCGCGTTTTTTGTTTCTTCCAAAATTCGTTAAGTTTTATCTCGGGCGACAGAAAACGAAGAAAACGGGATAAAAGACAAAATTAAGGTAGAATACAAAAAGCACATTGTAAAACAAGGCTGAAAATCTGTTTTATCAATATCGAGATCAAGTTAACTCCGGTATCTACAGTAATTTATCTTCAGATGCGCTCTACGAACTATAATATTTCATTGGTTACTGAGCATCTAAAGATAATTTAAGGAAGTCTTAAGTACAAAATCTGTCTATGAATACGGGTATAGGTATTTTAAGCTTTAAGCCGCGTAAGAAATTGATTAATTACAGTCGAATTCGAGGAAAATAATCGACTATGATTCGTTCATTTTTTTTATGGCTTAAGGCTTAGAACTTATATATTTAGATCCGAGGTAAATGGCAAATGACGTTATAATGACGTCCTGTGATTTCGTAATAATTTAATTATGACTCTCATTTTCATAGGATGTTATCAGGATAATATCATCTAATGAAAATGAACTAATTGTAAGTGACGAATAAATTTATAGGAATGTTCTTATGATATATTATTGTGACTTTTGTGTTCTATTTGGATGGCTCTGCTTTATTTGGAAATTTTGTTTACATTGAGCATATCAGTCTATATATGTAAAAGATGAAAAAATCGTAACGATATGTGCTGATATTTCTTCAAACATTTGTACTGAATATTTTATTTCTCTTTCTCCATCCAAAAAGTATGATTAATTAATTAATTATTAACTTTTTTTTTGCAATTTGCGTTCTTCACGAGTTTTGGATTTATTCGTTTTCTTTTTCTTTTTTTCTAAATTGCGGACATTCTTATCTTTCGTTTGGCCTCATTTGATTGTTATTACGTCTTTAATTATAACAATTTGTGAATTAATTAATAAATGATCTCTCGCGACTAAATCGTATTTTTTTAAATTTCTTATTTTCATAAATATTTCCACACTAATCGTTGGAACACAATCTTGTCGCTTGTTTGCATTATCAAAATTTGATCCTCAATAAGAATCTTTAGAAACGAATCTTTTAATTCTATGAATTATTAAATATATATTCCATTCACCCATCTCTCTCTGTTACATCATTGATTGTATTGGGAAATACAGTATTTTCTCGAGCAGGAAGTGTATATTTCTTGAGTAGAAAATGTAATCGGTGTGCAGTCAATTACGTATGCGAGCAGACGGCTCCGATGAAGTACATGGAAATAATTCATCAGTCCTTCTTTTATCGATATAATTATTCGCGCGCCAATTGAAACGACAATACCGCATCTTCTCCGTGCTTCTCCGCGAGGAAAGTCAAACGATTGCGCGTGATGCGTATGTATAATTATTTGCGTCTATCTAGGAAGTAGTGTGCGTTACCCGTCTTCGCACAGCGACGTCGCCTGAGTTACAAAAGCTACCTTAAGATTTAGTGATTGTGTAGTGCGACAATTGACGAGACTGACGGCGTGGCTAGACACGTGCCAGACGCATGCGCCCGCTCACGCCGTGATTATTACGTTATTACGATATACATATTTATAGATTATTACATAGACAAATATATATCGACGAGAAAAATATTCATTCTTTGTTCGTACGTGGCTAAGAGAGATGTATATATTTATATATGTATATTACTTTGCTTGTCTTGTGAGATATGCGTGTACTTAATTCTTACGACGTGCCCTCCTTGATGCACGAGATAAATCAGAAGTCGCGACTCTCCGAAATATATATCTTCGGTTTGACTGTCGGAAATCGGAACTCGGATGTTCTCGAGCCGCTTTACACAGCGACGCGACACAGCTGAGCTCCGGATAAGCGGAAGTTTCAAAATCGGACGGTCACATTGAGCGTTAAACGCGATTTTATTCTTAATTGCTAATGACATAAAAAAAGGAAACGGTAGCACGTAATAACTCGGATTATACTGATAGATATAATCGATAACGTGGAAATAGGAATTAATCTCATTATTTTGATGCAATCGCGATCATCCATTCCAAGGAATCGGTCGACGTCTTCTGATGTACCCCGAGTGTTCACGTCTGTTGTACAAGAACTGCCAAATGATCTATCCCTGAACCCTCTATCACCACTACGTGGTAACGAGGGTGATATTACGGAGATACACGCGGTGCGATTATTAGCCCGACTTGGGGGAGGAGAGGGAGGGCTTCCCCCGGGCTAATTTGCGGCCATCAAATCGCGATCCTGTCAGCCGCGAAGAAGTACTATATATTGTGTGTATAACTATATGTATATGTAAGTATACGTATGTATTATTAGGTCAGATTGTACACGCGTTATAAGTCAGATCTGATGAGCGAGCGCGAATGAATGCGATCTAAGTAGAACAAGTCAACGATAATATCAAAAGGACATTAAAATGAATCGTTGATTAAAAAGTGATATTTTAATAATCATTTTCATGTTATTTCGAACATTTTGCCACAAAACTGGAAATCGAAGGGAATTGTCAGAGAAATTGGGAATAATCAGGAAAAATCAGGAAAAAGTCAGGGAAAAGTGCCAGCGAATTTTGCAAAATTTTTCAGCTTCGAAGAGGTTTAAATACGTATACGTATATGCAACTTTATCGACCCAACAATTAAAAGTGCAAGTAGTATCAGCAATAGTAATTTACGTTGCTACGTCAAATTGATCTCTCAACAAGATATTTAGCAGTTTCGAAATCAAGATAAAAATGCAAAAAATATTAAAATATTATTGTCAGGGGAATATTGAAAAAGGAAGTGTTTAATTTTAGAGAAAGATATTATTTATCTCTATTTCTTAAACATTTAAAGATGTTTTAGTTTTAAACTTTTCCCATAAACAAAACACTATATAATTTCTTACTTTCTTTCTTTTCTTCTAATTAAATTTAGGGCGGATTATTAGCGTTTCAGAACAATTGTGTTGAAACCGAATGTTATCGGCTCGTAATTATATCTGGAATAAATTGATTTAATAAAAGAATACATAATGTATTAATTGTAACATCCAAAATTTGATGATCCAATCTCGGCGTTCTTTATCGTATTTGATGAAAACACTATGTTTGGATTTAGAATACAAACTGTTTTCAATCCGAACACGCAGTGTTTTGTTTGCTGAAAAAGTTTAAAACTAAAACATCTTCAAGGGGTTGCTCGTCGTTCCACCTTTTGATAAACTTCAGTTCACTATCTTACTCTCTTACTCTTTTAATCTTTTGTTTATCCAATAAATTTCCTCGTAGTTTATCTAAAGATGGAACAACCGACCATAAGCGTTTAAAAAAATTGAAAACAAAACGTTTTAATAGTTTATAATTAAACACTCCTTTTTTTTTTCAGTGAAAGTTTGTCTGAAAATCAAGGAAAAGTTATGAAATTTTAGGACGAGGAATTTGTGACGTCGTGATGACTTGTGTTCCACTTGGGGATTAAGCTTCTCGTCTCGACGAGCGCAAACGGAAGTACTCACCGAGGCCAGTCGCATGTTCGCATTTTCATTCGCATTCGCTCGGTCCAGATCTGGCCCAGAATAATCCGCAGCGAGTGCCGCTTTCCATTTCCCTCCAACTCACGATCTATTCCTGGGGGGACGTAGATCGAATCGTCAACTCCCGAAGAGAGATCTTCGCGTCTTCTCGGGATCCCGAGGCCAATTAAGAAAGAATTAGCGTCGCATCTTGTTGCACGGGGACGTATCCTTGAACGAGGGAGCCTCCATACGATTCATTATCACCTCCTCCTTGTTGTTGTTCTTTATGATTGACCGAGCGTGCAAGGAGATCGGTGCGCGTTAATTAGAGACTCCACAACCACCGTGATCTTGTCCGAGCTTCGTTCAGCGACAATCGTTGGCGCTTCACGCTTCGGGTTGTCTATTGAAGAATTGATACTGCAACACGGGAAAGAGGGAGTCGTCCTTTACGCTTCTCACCGTTTCTCAAGAGGTGTACACGAGACGTTTGTTGCAACAATAAAGAGGAACCGCATTAACGTTCGGTCTTGGAAAAGCGCGAATCTTGGTGGGATTTCTTACAACGTACAGGAGAATCATTTAGAAAAGTTTCCAGGTTATAGATGTAATGTAATATCTCTGAATTTATATCCTCTTTGGCCGTTGTATAAAACCGAATCTTTCTCGAGAAGACATCCATCCTGTGATCTCTCGTGATATCCCCCTCCCATGTTGAAAAAATCATTTAGTAACTTTAGAAAGGACGTTATTACATAATTTTCGTCGATATATCTTGGAGTAGTAGATTATTAAGCTTGATTTGTACCAGAAGAAGCGCGCGATGTTCTTAGGAACAAAGCCCTTTTCGAAATTATCCTGTTTCATTATATCTCATCGCCAGCAGAGGATCGCTCTGGATCAATATTTCGATATCGCGCCTTCGCGACAGTCTCTCCGAATTAATCGAGAGCAAAGAGAAAGAGAGAGAGAGGGGGGGGGGAAGGCAGAGAGAGAGAATCTAATCTAAGAGCAAGGTGCATGGGAAGTGATCAAATCGGAGAGAGAGAGCGGTAGGCGC